GGCAAAGACGTATATTTCCACAATAAACTTTTTAGTTATTGTCAATTTCATTGACACATAATTTCTACATTGCATATAAAGTGATAATCTTTCAACACTAAGTAAATAGATAACTTTAGTATCCAAATATTTGTACATTTTTAATAAAATTTTATCCATACGCTAATGAAATTCTTAGACCATTTCAAAGAATATATATGTAAAATTCATCCTGGGATTATTTTCTATGCTATTCCCAAATCCAAGCTCAACTTAACTATTCGGGGAAACTGAAAGCCATTACAATTGACATTTCTTGCCTTACTGATGATGTATAGCAATGCATATGTATCGTCTTAACTATTTAACATGCTGCATGTTCTTGACTCATGTGAAAGTGCTAGGAAAGCAATAACATTTGGAGTTTCGTGAGTAATAATAAGAAAATTTAGTGGAATGCTTTGTTTATCGTTTGATGATTAAGCAGATATTGATGCATATTAAACCCAGTCACATAAGTACATTTTTAATTCCGAGAAAATGGGAAAGTTCGGCTAAGACGTATATTTCCACAATAAACTTTTTAGTTATTGTCAATTTTATTGACAAATATTAATATCTAAATTGCATAGAAAGTGATAATCTTTCAACACTAAGTAAATAGATATCTTTGGTATACAAATATTTGTACATTTTCATAAAATTTTTTCCATACTTTGATGAAATTCTAAGACCATTTCAAAGAATATAAATGTAAAATTCATCTTGGGATTATTTTCTTTATGCGGTTCCCAAATCTAAGCTCAACTTACCTAGTCAGGGAAACTGAGACCCATTACAATTGACATTTTTTGCCTGACTAATAATGTACAGCAATGCATCTGTATCGTCTTAACTACTCAACATGCTGCATTTTCTTGACTCCTGTGAAAGTGCTAGGGAAGCAATAATATTTGGACTTTCATGAGTAATAATAAGAAAACCTGGGTGGAATGCTTTTTTATCGTTTGATGATTAAGCAGATATTGATGCATATTAAGCTATCCCCAGTCGCATAAGAACATTTTCAATTCGGAGAAAATTGGAAGGTTCGGCAAAGACGTATATTTCCACAATAAACTTTTTAGTTATTGTCAATTTCATTGACACATAATTTCTACATTGCATATAAAGTGATAATCTTTCAACACTAAGTAAATAGATAACTTTAGTATCCAAATATTTGTACATTTTTAATAAAATTTTATCCATACGCTAATGAAATTCTTAGACCATTTTAAAGAATATATATGCAAAATTCATCTTTGGATTATTTTCTATGCTGTTCCCAAATCCAAGCTCAACTTAACTAGTCGGGGAAACTGAAAGCCATTACAATTGACATTTCTCGCCTGACTGATAATGTACAGCAATGCATCTGTATCGTCTTAACTACTCAACATGCTGCATGTTCTTGACTCCTGTGAAAGTGCATCGATCGTGAAAAGCTAACATTTTTCGGCAAGATTCACCGTTTCTTCACTTATGCCTTTTTGCAGACATTAAAACCAGCCATTAGAGACAGTGTTTGCGTATCAATGCTTGGCCTCGCCTTGCGACCGGGACCGGAGGAGGACGAGAGGAGGGCAAAGTGGCCGTGGGTGAATCTGCCCCACAAGCCCAGTCCGCTTTATTGTCCGTAAGTTGAGCTTGATGCACCACTTTGAAATAGCGGTGAGTTACTTCCCTGCTTCCAGCCTCCTGCATACATATCATCTGCACATAACCGGGCAATAAACATCGCTTTTAGCTTTCTGCCAACAGCCCCAGGCCTCCCCATCATGTAACAACCAGCGTCCAATTGCGGGCATGGGTGGGAATGCTGTTCACATGCGTCCATTCGTGTGGAGAAGATAAAACACAAGCACCGGTCTGCCTCAACTGGAGCTGGGAAGAGATGCAGTCAGTCGGATTGAGACAAGTAAATAAACAGTCTTGCTGACTCAAATGGAGGCTGAGCAGAGTGAAATCACCATGTGAATGTGATATGCTCCCATGTTGCTTGGCCGCTCGGTCAAGCCGGCCGAATCTGCAAAAGCCTAGCCCCAAGACAGCAACAACGGCATGCTTTCACTTGTCGCCCCCACTCCCGACAAATTGTCACCCAAAACACTCACTTTTTGGCGCTATTTCCACGCCGGATCCGGCCTCATTGCTTACATGAGGCACTCTTGCTCTCCAACTATCTCTCTCTCTCTCTCTCTTTCTCTATCTCTCTCTCTCTCGCACCGATGATGTCGGCAAATCTTGACGCACATTAGACGCTGCTGTTGTTGCCCAGCAAAATGCAAGTGTACAGTGTGAATTGAGGCCTCCATTTAATAGGAAGACGGGTGAGTGGGGTGAATATGGGTGTGTGTGAACGCTTTCAGTCTGCTCCCCTGTCAACCGGCAGATTGCTCAACCAGTTCTCCTCACTCATCCGACCCTCACAACATACACATACAAACACACACAAACATATATATATATACATATGTGTGTGTGGGTGTGTGTATGTGATGGTTATATAATGTAGAGACGGGTTTATGTCACTTTTCTACTCTCTCCTTTTGTCCAGTCTGATGGTCGTTGCACAAGCCCTTAATTGAATTCTTCCTCGTGTAGTTTTCTGCCACAGACAGTTTTGGCTGCATTAAGCAGAACCAAACATTCAAGCATACTTTATTATTGTCAAACAACGCATTTTGTTGCTTATTGTTCAATTGGGCGAGCGAAACTTTTGACTGAAGCAATTGCCATTGTAGCCTCATTATGCACAGGGTGAGTGTAATCGTGACACAATCGCAACACCCAACTGTGTCCTGTGGTCGCATCAGCAGAATAGTTATTCTTGAGAGCATTCGTCGGCTTTCTAATGATAAGATGGGCCTTAAGCATCAGCTATTAACGGCATGGAATTTGGATGACTTCCCGTTTGAATGGGAAAGTTGAGTGGAAGAAATCCGTTTGGCAGGAAATAGAGGCGCAATTCAATCTAAGCCATCTTTGTTTCCGAATGGATAAGCCGAGTTATGCTATTTTAGTTTGTAAGTGGGTTTTCAAGAATACCACAAAATCTTACATTCTTCCTATTTTGTTTGAGTTGATGAAGGACTGGGGGCTAAATTCTAACTCATGTTTCCATCCAATTGCATCTTAGTTTGAGGATACGCATTTTCAAATTTTCCTGATTTACATAAACACCTCCAACTGAAATAGTACCCAAGTAGTGCATAGGATGACCTTAAACGAAATAAATAAATAAATATATATATATATATAAATATATATATATAATTTAGCAAATTGTCTATATATAAAAACTTATTGCATCCCAAAGGATAATGTAGGCCTAAAAACAATTGTACAATCGAGTCAAGTGATTTCTATCAGATGGTCTCATTTACCTCAGAAAAAGAGAATAACTATACCAACAAAACCATTCTCTATCTTTCTATAAATACACATAATTTTCAGTTTTTTTATAGTCAATAGTCTTCATTACTTAGAGTCAAGGTTAAATTTTCGTAAGATTATTAGATCGTTTTTAGTTGAACTGAATGAGTATATTTTGTGGAGTTACTCATCCTGAGAGTGATTGAAGAATCGAGCAATTACGGAGCGTCAAGAATCAGAGGTCGTCTTCTAATAGGATCAACCAGAACCTGCATGATCATCTTTCTGAGCCGTTACTAGGGCTATATACACACAAACACACATGAAATATTTAACAGATTCTTTCTGCATCACTCTTAAAATAACTTTGGTCACTTGGATTTGCTGTAACTATCAACTACATTACTTATCTTTAGTTTATAAGTATATATATATATAACTTAGCAAATTGTCTATATATAAAAACTTATTCCATACTAAAGAGATATTATTTTTTAATAATCCCAAATGATAATGAAGTCCTAAAAACGGGTCAAGTGATTTCTATCAGATGGCCTCATTTACCTCAAAAAACAATAACTATACCAAAGAAACCATTCTCTATATTTCTATGAATACACATAATTTTCAGTCATTTTATTGCCATTTGTCTTGATGACTTAGAATCAAGGTTTAATTTTGTAAAAAAAAGATCCAGTTCTGACAACATATCGAATGCGACAGATCAAAGCTTCTTAGACCGTATTCAGTTGAATTGAATAAGCATATCCTGGGGATTTACTCAACCTGAGAGTGATTACAGAATCGAGCAACTACGGGACGTCAAGATTCAGGCGTAGTCTTCTAATGGGATCAACTAAAGCCTGCATGATAATCTCTCAGAGCCGTTACTAGGGCTATATACACACAAACACACATGACATTTTTAACAGATTCTTTCTGTATCACTCTAAAAATCACTTTGGTCACTGAGTTTATCTGTAACTATTGTCTACATTACTTATCTTTCGTTTATAAATATATATATATATATATATACTTAGCAAAATGTCTATATATAAAAACTTATTCCATACTAAAGAAATATTATTTTTTAATAATCCAAAAGGATAATAATGGCCCAAAACCAATTGTTTGAGCGAGTTAAGTCATTTATATCAGATGGCCTTATTTAACGCAAAAAAGACGTAAACTATACCAAAGAAACCATTCTCTATCTTTCTATCAATACACATAATTTTAAGTTATTTTATAGTCATTATCCTTCATTAGTTAGAGTCAAGATTGAATTATTGTAGGAAAGAGATCCACTTCTAAAAACATATCTAATGTGACAGATCAAAGCTTCTTAGATCGTTTTCAGTTGAACTGAATGAGTATATCTTGTTGATTTAGTCAACCTGAGAGTGATTGCAGAATCGAGCAATTACTGGGCATCAAGAATCAGCCGTCGTCTCCTGGTAAAATCAACCAGAGCCTACATGAGCATTCTTCAGAGCCGTTAATAGGGCTATATACACACAAACACACACAATATGTTTTAACAGATTCTTTCTGTTTCGCTCTAAAAATCACTTTGGTCACTCAGATTTACTGTAACTATCGACTACATAACTTATCTTTCGTTTATAAGTGTATATATATATATATATATAACTTAGCAAATTGTCTATATATAAAAACTTATTCCGTACTAAAGAAATATTAATTTTAATTAATCCGAAAGGATAATGAAAGCATAAAAACAATTGTTTGAGCGAGTCAAGTGATTCCTATCAGATGGCCTCATTTAACTAAAAAAAGGCATTAACAATACGAACGAAGCCATTCTCTATTTTTCTATTAATACACATTATTTTTAGTTATTTTATTGTTATTAGTCTTCATGAATTAGATTTAAGGTTAAATATTTGTTAGAATGAGACCCAGTTCTGACAACATATCTAATGCGACAGATCAAAGCCTCTTAGACTGTTTTCAGTTGAACTGAAAGAACTGATATAGAAAGAATCTTTCTGTATCACTCCAAAAATGATTTCGTTAACTTGGATTTGCTGTAACTATCGATTACCTTACTTATATTTTGTTTATAAGTATATATATATTTATATCATTTACTAATAGTCCCGAAAACCTACTTACAGACGAATGTTAAGTAATGTGGTCGATGGTTACAGCAAATCTAATATTACTTCATCCGCAATCTCACAACAGAATGTGATATGGAAAAATGCCTGACTTCCCTCGAAATTCACATGTCTTATGATCCAAGGGCAGTGTGGTAGTATGACACAGGAATTAAGGCGTCGAGATTATACGCTTCACCACCACAACTCTGGTTCGAGTCCCTCCGAGGGGGCTGGTGAGACAAGTTTAGGCGAGGTCAAAACTAAATTCCAATTCAGTCTGGTTGAGAATATATTTTGGGAAAACAAGTCTATGTGAAATTTGATGGAAGCATGGAACCTACTTATATGATTGCGAAAAAATTTAATTATCGGTCATTCATAGCCTTTGAAAAGATAGTAATGTTTTCATCAAAATCCTACTGATTCAATAAGGGCTTCTTCTAAACCTCGCTATTTTTCATAGTTTATCAAACATGCTTGACTATGAAATCCTCCTCCCTCGAGTCGAATTGGGGTCTACTTATGAATCCCATCTGGCCAATGTTTACCTCGAAACAAATTCCTGCAACAAACAGAACTACTATTCCGGCCTTCGAGGCCATAATCTCCGCATTCATTAGGACGAGCAACAATAAAATTTTTCTTTTTTGTTCTTCTTCTACGACCCGTTTATTAGGCTTTAGAAATTTTGTCATTTGCGCGAAAGCAGCCCTCAAGTTAGTCTTTGCTCAGCCCAGCCAACCGGTCTCACTAACCCTGCCTAGTCGGTTCACACTTGTTCGCCACGCATGGACTCTTCTGTAGGCTGACTCATTTCAGGGCATAACATTCGAGTCAAAGCTTGATAGCAGCTATGTTAACTGTGGAGGAAGACCTGTATTTGGTGTGAAAGTGTGTGATGAATGGGGTTATAGGTCAATCTCACGATAAGACAATGGTTTTAGTTGAATTATCGTTGCGTGAAGCACACCGAGACACACTCCTTCGCCTCCAATGAGGGTATATTTGGCTGATTTTATATCAAGCCCTATTTACTGGCATTATTCGAGCCGAAACATTCTTGAGTAAAGCATACATCAAGAAAACAAATCGATCAACATCTAACTGCTACCAGGCACATGACCCAAGTGATTTTGAGAGTGATACAGAAAGAATCTGTTGAATCCATTTCGTGTTTGTTTGTGTGTATATAGCGCTAGTAACGGCTCTGAGGGATGTTCATATAGGCTCTGGTTGATCTTAGAAGATGACGGCTGATTCTTGACGCCACGTTATTGTTCTATTCTGCAATCACTCTCAGGTTGACTAAATCAACAAAATATACTTATTCAGTTCAACTGAAAACGGTCTAAGAAAGTTTTGATCTGTCACATTCGATATGTTGTCAGAACTGGATCTTTTTCTTACAAAAATTCAATCTTGACTCTAAGTCATGAAGATTAATGACTATTAAATAACTTAAAATTATGTGTATTTATAGAAAGATAGAGAATGGTTTTGTTGGTATAGTTAATGTTTTTTTTGAGGTAAATGAGGCCATCTGATAGAAATAACTTGACTCGCTTAAACAATTGTTTGAGGGCCTTCATTATCCTTTGGGATTAATTAAAAAATATATTTCTTTGTATGGAATAAGTTTTTATATATATAGACAATTTGCTAAGGTATATATATATATACTTATAAACGAAAGATAAATAATGTAGTCGATAGTTACAGCAAATCTAAGTAACCAAAGTGATTTTTAGAGTGATACAGAAAGAATCTGTTAAAATATATTGTGTGAATTTGTGTGTATATAGCCCTAGTAA